ACATGGCAGCTAACAACTGTCCTTAACTCCAGTTCCAGGGGATCCGACGGCTTCTTCTGTCCTCCATGGGTACCGCACGACATGGGTACATTTGCCTACATGCAGACAATACACTCATACACATAAAATAAAAATAATAAAGAAAATATTTTTTAAAAAAGGAAATGAACTACAACAAAACATGTTTAGAACAAAATATTTAAATAAATTTTAAATTAAAATATGTTTTAAAATTAAATAGTTCCTAAATAGGAGCAAGAAGGGAAGAACTACCGTGAAGAAGTCTAACAGGTCACATTTTTCACCTTGTGCTCATTTTAATATATTTTAGTTTCAAAAATATAAACTATAGAATACAGGAATTATGCATGCATTAGTTCTACAGCTTATTAGTAAGTCATCATCATCATCATGATATTATACATACTTCTGTGGATTTATGGGAAATGTTCTGAAGTCCCCTGTAGAAAAGATGTATTTACAGAGAAGGAGCTTAAGAACTGAACGTGGAAGACGCAGAAGTAAACTGAAAATATTAATCAACAGAATGGTTCCATTCATCAACTGTCAGGAAGCAGGGATTCAGCGTATAATGTAGAACATTTTCCAACCACATAAGGCATGCTATGCTGGAAGATCAGCGCTTAATTCTCACGATTAATCTAAGGTATAAGCAGTATTTTCACAGTGCCAAGAATCACATTAGTCTACATTCTAAGCTGAACCACTCACATGAAGTATTTATGAAAAAGTTAAAAGTTATACTGACTATGCACCAACAATTAATATACCCGAACTTCTATTATCACATACCAACTAACAGATCAATACAAAATAGCCAGAGATTCAAAGGTTCCGCTCACTTCACTTTACCATGGTCTTTCACAAGCAGGTTCCATCAGTGAAAAGGTCATTTCTAAATATGCTCTATATTATGTTACCAAAAGTCTAAGCTCTAAGATGTAAAGACTTAAAGAACAAGTTTTACAAGTGAAGATTGGATGAAATTCAGAGGCTAAGATGGAAGAAAAAGGGAAAATCAAATAATCTTGAAATTTTAGGGATATCATACCATATAGTCCATGGCATAATTTTCCTAAATGGAAAGATAAAGAAATAAGAATTGATTCATCTGCTTTGAAGGATTTTTCACAAAATGTTTTCACTAAGGGAAGGATAGTTTGACTTCTGTCATCTGAAAAAAAAAAAACAATATATATTTTAGGCCCAGCTGTTTACCTCACACACAGAGAAACATACACATACACAAATTCCAAAAGAAAAATTCCCACTGGTCACGGCAAAGGGGGCACTCTCCTACGCTCATCGCACGCTGTGCTGCAGCTTTACGCTTTCTTTAAATCAAAGTTAGCTTGAAAGATGTCTATTTACTATCACTGTTTTTACTTTCTTAGCTCCTTAAAGACAGATCAACTTATTTATTTATTTATTTTATTTTTTTTTTTTTGTCTTTTTGAGACAGGGTCTTCCTGTAGCCCCAGCTGTCCTGGAACTCACTATGTAGACCAGGCTGTCCTCGAACTCACAAAGATCCGCCTGCCTCTGCCTCCTGAGTACTGGGATTAAAGGCGTGCGCCACCACATCCAGCAAGAACAGATCAACTTTTAAAGGGCTATCTAAGTCTTTCATCACCTCTGTGGTGGCCTACACCCTTAATCCCAGCATTCAGGAGGCAGAGGCAGGTGGAGTTCTGTGAGTCCGAGGCCAGCTTGGTCCCCATAGTGAATCCAGGACAGCTGGGGCTACAGAGAGACCCTGTCTCAAAAAAAAAAAAAAAAAATATGTCACTGATGAGCTAGCTTCCTGCACTTACAGGGCAACTGGGTATTTTGTAACTTGATAACATTAGCAAATACTTTCTTACACAGTCCCACTATTATTATTCGCCCCAAATTTCTCTTCTCATGGCCAGATTTCTGATATTAAAATATTATTAAGAAGGAACTCATTTAGACATGTTACAGTCAGCATCTATCTTGACATCAATTAGTTGAGGCTTTAAAGGCTACTTCTCAAGCCAGCTGTCAGTCCTCTACACCAGTCAGTTAAATCCTGAAGACAGAAATAAGAAGTAGGAAACATACAGCAGCACTGGGTGCCATGGGTAAAAACAGAAGCACAGACCAAAAGAGAGAGTCATAAAAGAAAGAAGAGAGGCTTTTGCATCATTAGATTGAGAAAAATATTCTGGACCCACCTCTACTCTTCATTAGTAAAGCAAAGCATGGAAAAATACTCTTACAATACATGGAAAAGCAGAGATGTATGCGCATGAAGATTTACCTGTATCAAATATGTCAAGCATATTAACCAAGGTTTCAAATGCTGCAAGCCGCACACTGCTGCTCTCGTCCCGAGAGAGTTCTAGAAGTTCAGGGAGCACCACACTTTTTGTAAGTTCTGTCCTGCACAATAAGCAAGACAAGAAAACAAATCAGATTAACAAACTTGCAGCAAGAGCCTCATAAAAACAAGTGATTTGGATGGAACAGAAAACAGGAAGATCATTAAGCTACCCTGTCAAGTCTAGACGTTTTCCATCAGGTTAGGAAAGCAGACACAGATGGAAGAAGTGTGAATAACAACTTCAGAATGATTAAATCACTTCCACTTTCTCCTGTATACATTGTTCCCTATAGAAATATTAAGCTGTATAAGTTATAATATTGCTTTCTAGTTTTAAGAAACTTTAGGAAATGATTCAGCTAACTAGAAAAACTTTTCAGGCCTATGCTATATTTCTATCATCTAAACTATAACATTACAAAACTAATTTCTATACAGAAGAATGATAGAAAACATCAACTGTTCAATCTAAAAGAATAAGACCATATAAATGTCCTTAGAGAATATATGTGTATGACATAATCACAAACAGTTCATATTTGGCACTTACATTTGCTTCTGCCTTTTACCAGGGTCCACAGTCTGATAAAAGGGAGCCTTAACATATATATAGGCAGCGTTCTTAGATACAAGATATAAGGCAGCATAAATTATAACTGACATATGAACCGACATATATTGATAGAGCTCAGAAAGCTCAACAACAGGTTGTTCCTTCAGTTTTCTCACTCATCCCTGAATTAAGTTTTCTTCTATGCTGTCTGTGATCACTGTCTCTGTTATAAACTATGAACATCGTCATGAACCTCAGCTGTTCACATGGTGGGTCATCTCCCCGGTACCACATATCTGATATCTTATCTCTAAACAGTTTCATACATTTATTTTTTTTCTTCTGAATTCTGAGAGTACTAACTCATCTTCTCCATCACTGATTGTAAATTTTTAACCAGTGCATAACTATTCACTATACATTTGAGTTTTTCAAACCTATTTTTATTTTTAAATACTATTTCTTAATTTTCACTTTAAACTTTGCATCACAAGAATGTCTCCTCATACAATCCTCAATTTCATTGATTAGCAGTGAGATTTTAAATAATGTTTTGAAAATAAGTATTAAGTTTCTCTTTACATTAAAGTGAAAACTGTTTTGGTTTATTGGTCATTATTGGGAGATGACAGAACTTTTAAAAGCTGATCACATTGGGAGGTCTTCTGTTAGAGACGTCCTTACAGCAGACAGTGCGGCCACAATCCCTTCTTCTTCCTCTTTGGTGCTTCCCAGACAAGAAGTGAGGGTTTTGCATCATCACACTCTATGATGTGCTGCCTCACAAGAAGCCCGAAAGTTAGAGGATTTCCTGACTACCGACTAAAACACGCAAAATGACTTGATATAAAGCTTTTCTCTCTGTAAGCTGATGGCTCAGTATTTGTTACAATAATGGGAAACTGACTAACGCAACTAGCAATAAGGTACCAATGCTTTTCAGATATGATAACATGACAAAAAATTAAATAAATGTACATATGATCAAGAAAATTTATTTCTTAACTGGATTCTAACTTAATGTCGAGTATATTTATTCTTTGTAATTTTTCTTTTATAAATTAATGCTTGAGGAATAACACTAAATAAATTTTGGGGAGACTAATTTGAACATACTTGGCCTTTCCATTTTCACCAAGAACATTTTTGAGATGGTAAAAGATGAACACATGAGGGTCCTACATGTTTGTATCATGAACAGGCAGCAGTACACACATTGTCCTCAGAGATTCTGGTTCTGACTCATAAGCAAAGGTTTCGGCAAGACTGAATTAATCATGGTCTACATGGACCCAAAGAGAGTCATCTAGATTTAGAAGACATCTGAAAGATGGTTTGAAGTCAAAACAAGAAAATTGCTAATTCTATTGATGTATTAAGATTCCCCCACATATCCTACTTAGCAACAACAGACACACAACAGAGCACAGTACTGCACCTTGTCTGTTAGTGATACCCTAAAGCTTTAATTATCAACCTAGGTTTATAAAACAAACAAACAACAAAAAAAAAAAACAATGCTAGTTGGATGTGGTGACACAGGCCTTTAATCCTAGCATTTGAGAGGCTGAGGCAGGTGGATCTCTCTGAGTTCGAGGCCAGCCTGGTCTACATAGTGAGTTCTAGCCAGGGAGACCCTGTCTCAACAAGACAAAAAACAAAAACAAACCAATGGTATGAAAAGCCAAAAGCTCAGTGTCTTTATCTGTAAAAGAAACCAAAGAAATCTGTGCGATTTCTGATAAGAATAAAAGGCACTAATTTTTTTTTTTGGTCTTTTTGAGACAGGGTCTCCCTGTAGCCCCAGCTGTCCTGGAACTCACTATGTAGACCAGGCTAGGCTTGAACTCACAGCGATCTGCCTGCCTCTGCCTCCTGAGTGCTGGGATTAAAGGCGACCTACTTTAGAATCCTTAAAACAAAAAAACTTTCCAAAACTGATTTTTAGTTAAGTTTTTCTGTAATGCTACACTTGTCGCTTGACATGGAATCTGGTTTAAGCAGAAGGTAGACTGGCTTCCCTATGCCTATACCCCGAGCGCCACACACCCACAGTGCAAGACAATGACAAATCAGGAGTACACACGCCTAGAATTACACAGGGACACAGCAAGGTTTTGCTGACAGCAGATTTATCTGAAACAACCAAAAATATAGCCAGGAAATGGTCAGCCAAAAGAAATGCTCAACTACATTCCCAGTATGGTTTATATTGGGTAGGACACTTCATTCTTAGATCTGGGTATTTAGAACAATAACTAAGTAACCACAGTGAGAAGGAAAGGAATTAATACTAATTGAATACCTACAATAATGCTGAACATATTCCCGTTTATCTCTTTTGCTGCAGATCTATTAGGAGGAACCTGTATGATCATTTGGAGAAGTCGTATAAAGTGCTCAACAGCATGTGTTCATGGAATAGATGGGCAGGATATGCTCTGCCTCACAATCTGCATAAGCAACTCAAAGTGCACTTACCCAATGCCTTGAGCTATATTTTCTAGCTGCCGACACATACAAGATCGAACTTCATATTCCACATCTTGACAAAGGGATTTTACCAGGGGAAGTAGTTCTCTTTTAATGCTGAAGAAGGGGGTAAAGAAACATAAATGGGTGAATGTTTTAGACTAATACCTTTGAACAATTCTTAAAAACTTAAATTAGCACATATAAGAAAGAACATCTTTGAATTTTTAGATTTTGTTTAATTTGGAGTGTCTATAGAGGTCAGGAAGCTAGAAAGGGCCTATGAGAGGGAGGGAGAGGAAGAGGCCTTAACACAGGGAGGAAACAGAACACATAAGATATGGAAGTAGGGCAGGGGAATCCTGGGGATTCAAGGTTTCAGCAGGGATGCAGGCAGAGGCATAGAGGGATGGAGGAGATGGGGAGTGAGTTAACCAAAACTAAGGGTGTCCAGGGAAGCTTTAAGGAAAACCACTGCTTTGTAAGATAATTTTTAAAAAACAGTTTGAATGGATGTATCCTACATGAGGGAACAATGCTTCTCCAGAAAACACGGGTTATTAAATGAAAATCTCAGTGCCAGATGTGGCATGCCTTCCTACAAGCTATTCAGAGACACCCCCTCAAACAACACAGGCTGCTGCCACTGCTCTTGGTTTCCCACCATAACTAGACAAGACAACCTCATTGCTGAAGATACAACATACACTGGCTGAAGGACAGGGAGAAACCAAGCTGGAAGTCACCTGAAGATTTTCTCCCTGCTGGCTAGCTTTCATGGTGCCAGAGGGCACTATGCAGGTCACTGGTGGAGAAAAGCCATCAATGGACTTCCAGTGATGGATCCTGCAAGCTACAATACTGACCTCCTGGGCAGTTATGCACCCACTGGTAAAACAGTGGCATGACTGCTATGGAGGCAACCAATTGCTTTATGATTGGATTTGAAGTCTGTTCCACAGGAGGAAATTCATGCCTTAGTTTTGTAAATCTGGCCAAAAGCCATGGCTAGGGAGGTCATAGGCTCTAAAGGGAGAAGCTACTACTGTTGTTTTCTAAACGGACATGTTTATACCCAGAGACTTATTTTTTAATACTTTATTACTTTTATTGTATGTATATGAGAGTAATGCCTGCAATGTGCACAGTGAGAACAACTGTGCTATGCGATGCCCACAGAGGTCAGAGAAGGGCACTGAATTCCTTGGAACTGAAGTTATGGATGGTAGTTAGCCATCATGTGGGAACTGGGAACTGAACCGAGGTCCTCTGCTCCTAACTGCTGAGACATCGCCCTAGTCCCTACACCCAGAGATTTATGTTTATACCCATAGATTAGCACAACCGAGGTCAGAGAAGACTCTCTTACTGGGCAGCTGTCAAAGAAGAGACTCATAACTAGTCAAAGGGCTGAGTATAAGTTTTTGTAGAGTGTTCAGCCATACCTGGAACAATTATACCAACCCTGCAAGGCTCAGGAAATACCATGAATGAAAGGGTGGAAAGGAATGAAAGAGAAAATGGGGAGGAATGCTGTGAAATGCCGTATTCTGGACATGAACTCATGAACTCACAGCAGGTACAGTTATCTGCACAAGTCTGCTACAAGATCAAGCCAGGCAACACTTCAGCACGGGAGACGGAAGGCCTCATGAGGCTACTCCTAGCTGAAAAGCTAACAGCAACTGATGGCTGCTGGGGGTAGTAATTTTTCTTTGGGGTGTGGCCATAGCTGGCCCATGCTTGGGTGAATGGTTCACACCTATGCACATGTTGGCAGCACTAACAGGATATGATGGGTTATGAAAAAGAAAAAAAGAAAGGGAAAGAAGACAAAGGGAACAAGAAGATGGGAGGACGAAGCATTTGGAGCGATCTGGGGAGCGGGAGGGGGTATCTGGGTTGGCTATGATCATGATACATTGCTATGTGTGTGAAATTGCCAAACAATAATTTTAAATCACTTAAAAACTCTTAAATTACCTTAGTTAGCAAGATTTTTACACTTTATAGTGCATTTTTTACATGTTATTAAATTTGGATGTTATCAGTTACTTGTAAATTATATACCAGATCATCTCTTGGAAAATAATAATTGCCAGGCGTGGTGGCACATGCCTTTAATCCCAGCACTCAGAAGGCAGAGAAAGGCAGATCTTTGTGAGATTGGGGCCAGCCTGATCTAGATAGCAAGTTTCAGGCCACTTGGGGCTACAAGGAGATCCTATCTGAACACATAACAAAGCGGTTAAAAGTTCATAGCTTTAAAAAAAAGAAAAAGAACATAGCTAATTCAAAAGGCTACAGCGATGTGATGTGGATCTGACAACCATCAACCAAATCTTCTGTTTCCTATTTTACTCTCATTCTATGAACGCACAGCATTTGCTGTCATATGAACAGAGAGAAGCATGGGCACTACAGACATGCTCTGTAATGAGATTACCAAAATAAGGAGCTCATAATGTAAGAAACCAGAACTCCTAGCTTTAGGTCAGGTTTACTCATTTTGGAAATCCCCCAAAATGTTATTTTATCCTCAAAAGGAAACTAGGTATGGGATAGGGAAGGCTAAGACTCAGGGTAGAAAACAAATTAAGGTTATTGATTTTGAAAATCCTTCAGACTGAGAAAAAAAATGCTTCGAATAAGTATATTTCTGTGTTAGAACTCCACACAGTTAAAACAGCTAAACTTGAGTATAGTATGGAGTAATACAAATTTAATTGTTGTTAATGCATCCATTGTACATTCTAAACCAATTTAATTTAAAGAGACAAAAAATATGTACAAGTACTCACCTATGGGCATCAAATTTGTTGGTTAATTTTCCTAAAATTTTACAGCTAACTAAACGAGACTGGACAGTTTGGGAAAGTTGCGCCTTGGAAACAAGTGGATTCAAAATCTAAAGGGAAACAATTCAGAGGACAAATTTATGAAGTTTCATACATTCTTGTCATTAACATCAACTATTTTATTCAAGCAATATTTTAATTTTTTTTGTCTTTTTGAGACAGGGTCTCCCTGTAGCACCAGCTGGCCTGGAACTCCCTATGTAGACTAGGCTGGCCTTGAACTCACAGAGATTCACCTGCCTCAGCCTCTCGAGTGCTGGGATTAAAGGCGTGTGCCACCACGCCCAGCTATGAAGTATAATTTTGAAATACATACTTCCAACAGAGAAAAGCAAATCAATTACCAGATACTCAGAAATTTTTATTGATTCTACATGGATTCATTTTTTATATTTATCCTAAAACATAAAAAATAAATTCTATTTAGGTAATTCTGCATTTGAACATAACAACCCAAGTCTAGTGCCATATTATGTACATGCCAGGCATTCAAAACCTCAATTGCAGCCGGGTATGGTGGCGCACACCTTTAGTTCCAGCACTGGGGAGGCGGAGGTGTTCCTCTGTGGTAGCCAGCCTGGTCTACACAGTGAGTTCCAGCCTGCTCTTTAATTTGCAGTCTTCCTATTTCTTATCCCAGATTCTCTATCTACCTATCATGGTAGACATCAGAATATGTCTGCTAGGGTCTCTTCAAGTTCTAAAGTTCTACGACTCTCATATAAAGGTTAGCTGTTTCATTTCCTTTTAACCAAGTAGCCAAAAATTACTGAATGCATATTGATAAATATAATCTAAAAATGAAGGATTTGAAATAAAATACATATTGAAAATCTTGAAATTCACATTCTAAAAATACCCAGCACTCTAGAGTAACAACTGCCTTATATTAATATCATCTTCAAAAACCACAGAGAACACATCTCTGCATTGTCTTTGGCACTTTAGTGTGCGTGATGGTCTAGATCCTTGCCACCAGGTGTATATTCTTTAGCTGGATGAAACATCACTTTTAAGAAAGTATTTTGGCATTATGATAAAATCACAAGCTTAATGACAATGAAGACACTTCACGAAATCAATAGAAAACATTTCATTAATAACTTTTTTGCCTTGGCGTAGTTGCAAAGAAATACATATAAGGATAATGTTCAAACAATTCAAAATTTTTTCATTAGACGGTAAATTTCATTTCTATTTTTTCTACTCTGTCACCTTAATTTACAATAAAACCTTTAAGGGGACTATAACAAACAATATTGAAAATGAAAAGGCAATCGACCAACTGGGAATAATACTTACCATAATATGTGCAAATGCAACAAAAGATTGGCAGAAAGATGGTCTATATAAACATTGCTTAAAGGAAGGCTTACATAATTCCATAAGAATAGAACAAATACTGATATGCGATATGGAAAAATATTCAACAGCATGATTTAAATTGTCTAATTAAAATGCAACCGTGCCTTTAGCCTGTGAAATTCAATTGGAACGCCATTTTTGTTGTTGTTTCTGAGGGTGACCCCAAACTCACTATGTAGGCAACAAGGACCTCAAACTCCATCATCTTTCTGCCTTTGCCCCCGGAGTGCCAGGATATGCCACCATGCCCAGTTTATGCAGTGTTAGGGGCCAAGTCCAGGGCTTCGTGCACACTAGGCCAGCACTCTACCTACCACTTCATTCCCAATGGATACTTTAACTAGCAGCATTTCATATTCTTAGTGGAGCTGAGGAATATGAATGTCTATGATGAACTATCATCGCTTTTATGATACAGTTAAAGAAAGTACCAGAAAAATAAGAAAAGCTCTACAGAAATGATCCTTCATGCCTTATTTTGATAGTCAAATTTAAGACTGAAAGCAGCTTTATATGTTTACCAAGTAAAATAATTTACAACTACTATCCAATGAGTTTGGCACACGGGAAAATAATACTGAATGAAAAGCAACCACATACAGATTCAGCACGATTACTGAGGAGTGGGCAGCAACTACACACAGGGGAAAACCTGAAAGGAAATGTATCAGAACTTAGTCTTTAATCCCAGCACTCAGGATGCAGAGGCAGGCTGATCTCTGTGAGTTCCAGGCCAGCCAGTGCTACACAGTAAGAACTTGCCTCAAAACAAAACAAGAAGAAAAAGGAGGGAGGGAGGGAGGGAGGGAGGGAGGGAGGAAGGAAGGAAGGAAGGAAGGAAGGAAGGAAGGAAGGAAGGAGTAAAAGGGCC